CTGATGGCACGTTTCTTCCCACAGGAAACCTGAGTGCCTGTAGAAAACCTATAGATTCAAAGAGAACATGTAAACTTTACAATCCTGTAAGCTTTGCTGAGATCCACTGCGCCACCTGTAGGCTAATCTAATTTTTGAAAAAGTTAGGAGGCGGTTCAAAAAATTAAATAATTTACGTCATGATTTGCAAATATCAAACAAATTTTCTTCAGTCTTTAAATTTTAATGCTTCTCAGACAATTTCTACATCATTAGTTCCATCATTAGTTTGGGGGTTTATGTAACTCATACTCAAGATTATTATAAATGATCTTTGGTTCAGAGAATATGGCAGAGGTTCTGAATGGTGTTCACATAATGGCTGCTTCTTTTTGTGCTAGAGCTTTAAACAGCGTTAGTAGATGGTACAGTGAACTGTGTTTACAATGATTTGTGGAAGTGTTCCTGAGTCCAGAACAGAACCAGAACTGGTTTTAATGCAGTGAAGATTACAACCATCAGTTTAGACTTGCAGTCTTTCATTTTAGAGATTAACACAGATTATAATCTATTGATCAGATTATGAACTGGAGATGATGGAGATTGAAAGTCTTCACAATTTTTAATTGGAAAAACATTATTCCACTATTTTACACACAGATTTTGAAGGCTGGTGTATTTCTGCTTCTGTACCAGCTTTTTAAAGATACTTCTTCCATAAACTACATAAAATTGCTTTGTTTCAGTTTAGCTAGTTAGCATTAGCAAAGAAAATGTTAAATAATAAAGTGTCTCCCCACCACCATTTAACTTTTTTTAACCAACCTGGAATGTTTTTGAGCAAATATTGATTTTAGTCGAGTCAAGATTACATATAAATTCCAGGCTGTAAAACAACAAAATCAAAAGATTACCAATATAAATAAATACTTTTGCACCTGAAGTCACCAGCACCTTTAAATTATAGAAAGATGTTCTGGGACCCTCTGCTTTCTCCTGATGTTTTTATTGGCCTTTATGACATTTACATAAAAAAGAAAAACAAGGTCATTGTTTAGTGTTCATGTTTTTAGTATCTTTGAACTAGTTCTTTAGCACATCCTTACGCCTAACAGTGTTATGCTGGTTAATTATTTTTATTTTAGAGCCCATAAAAGTGACTGTTAATAATAAACAGGACGTTTTTACTGTAGTGATAAAGTCTAGACAGCTCATCCCTGTATAGTGAGTCATATGTTCCTGCAAGTGTTTGTACTGATATCCTGATTGGATGAACAATGTTTGTTTGCAGCTGTTCGTCTGATTAACACAACTGGACACATTTAGGTCTGAAGTACATAAAAAGAAAAATTTTAACCGTACATTTGATGTTTGTCTCTCAGTAAATCCCAATCTTAGGAAGATACTATGTCAGAGTAACATAAATGAAGAAATATTACTCCACATATCAGGTCAGAGGCTGTGACTGATGGTTGACTTTTTAAAGATGTTAAAGTGTCGTCATGCACATCATACTCAGTTTAAGTTCACATTAAACATTAACTAATTCCAAGAAAACAGGAGTTAAAGAAAAACTAAGTTTAAAAACCCTCAGTCAATCTTAACCCATTCACACCTTCAGAACAAAATCTGTTGTCAAATGTCAATGTCTATTATTGATGACAAATTACACAGCTATGCACTGTAATTCAATGACATCACAAAAATATTTTTTCACACAGAGATGCTGATTTTATTGACTAAATAATCCTAATCAGTGTTTTTACAGCTGCTCTTTGTTTTATTGTGTTAGAGTTAAAAATAGTTCTTGAAATAAAACCATTCTTGCTGTGTTTTTCTTTCTCAGTCACAGTCCTCTGCTGAGGCATGAAGTGATAAATTGCCCCCATACTTTCCCACCTCTCGAGGTTGATGTGTTTTTCTCACTGGCTGTTTTGTTTGAGGTGATAAGATAAAGTATCCTAGCCCAGGTTATTTATGTACAGAATGTGTTTGGGTGGAAATGACTTGCATCAGTGACGTGACTTCAAACCAGACAAGGTTATGTAAATACCATCAGTTTACTATAACCTTCCAAATGTGGATTTCATTCTTCTGTTTCTGACTTAAATAAAATACTTTTTAAATACTTTAAGCATTGCAAAAAATTTGTTTCTGAAACGTGAAGAGTTTTAGCGATGTATCTGTTTGGTTAATAGTTGAAAGGCATTAAATTACCTGGCAGTCTCTAAAGGGGTCCCCCAAGGGCCAATTTTAGGACTCATGTTCTTTACTATTTATAATAACCTATGTCACGTTCTTATTAGGGTTGGGAAAAATCATATCTTGTGCAATTAATCGTCAGAAAAACTTTAATCGAATACTTTTTGGCAATTGTCGATTGATTAATAGCACTAGGCAGACTCTCTGGAGATTTCCCCAGTCAGTCTGCTCGATGCTCATCTCTGCGTCAAATGTGACAAACTTTTTTTTTAAAGTTCTGTAATTTATTTATCATAACTCCAGTTGTACTTGACCTATCGACACAATTTAACAATTGTTGTATAGCCTGAACTCTGTACTTTTGACACAATTTGGAACAGATTTTTTTACAGAGAGCAAAGCTTTCCCAAGAGTTATTTTAAATTGGTCATGTTAATAGGACATGCAGGAGTCCAGGGACTCCAGGGGATTAATCGTCATAATTGTTATCGACTAAATATCACAATTGATTGATTTTTTTTTTCTTTTGCCAGTGTTGCTCAACCCTAGTTTTTCTTGATGCATCTGTGCACTTTTACACATAAGATTCAGTTAGGGACCCACAAAATAATAAATTGTGCCTGCTTGGATAGAGGTGGGTAGCGATGATAGAGCTGCTGTTGTGTTTCACGTCCAGTCCAGGTCAATTTGTAACCTTTTTTAACGTACGTAATTTTTGTAAGCTCTATAGGTGTGTGTTTGGGAGGGAGTCTTATCATAATATTTGTTTAAAATGGTCTCCGAACAATATTGTTTATCGCAATAACTTATGAGACAATTTATCGTCTAGCAAAAGTTATCGTGTCAAGCCTAACTGTGCACACAGTTCCTCTAGTCCAGGGGTGGGCAATCCTGGTCCTCAAGGACCACAGCCCTGCATGTTTTACTTTTTTCCCTGCATCAACACACCTGATTCAGTCACTGAATTACCTCTTCCAAGTTCTGCAGAAGCCTACTAATCACCCATTCATTCAAATCAGGTGTGTTGAGTAGAGAAACAAGTAAAACATGCAGGACTACTGCGGCCCTCAATGCCCACCCCTGCTCTAGTCGTTAAGTGCTTTCAGTCTGCTTGTGATTTTCAGTCCCTGCTTTTTATCTCAGGTTAATGCTAAGTAAGACAAAGGCAGTGATATTTTCCAATTGGAAAAAAATTGTGATCTGCCCTTCCTACCCTTACTACACTACAAGTTATTTGTTTTTAATACATCTGAAAGAAAATATTGTTAAGTGTGTTCGTTTACCAGTTTATGTGCTTGACACACACTGAGAATGTACCAATGCATGGAAATTGAATGTCAAAAAGTTGCATACAACCAACCACATGAAGAGCACTCTGGCTGAAGACAGTTTATTCAGTCTGCGTTCAGCCCCGTTTACAGGACGTCACAGTACCATTTAACATGGGCACCCGGGACATGACTCTGCCTATTTTATTACGTCACCAGGAGGGGAGTCCCTAAATCCAGCTGAAATCATGTCCCCAGATAAATTATATTCTAAACTAAGGATTAACGGTTCAGTTATGTGTTGAATCAGTGTTCAGGCATGTATCTACATAAAATCATCAATTTAAGCAACATAATCACATTTAACAGATATTACAGTTTCCCTAATAATAATAATAATAATAATAATAATAATAATAATAATAATAATAATAAACCACGTGTATTGTAATTAAGATCAGTATATAAACACACCCCAATAAATTTCTTCACATCATATAAATATCTCACAACACTCAGTGACTTAAACTTCAAGCTCCACAAGTTGAAATAGGGATTTTTCTTTATTTTGTAGATTTTGTGCTCACACACTGCTGGTTTCTGCCACCTTCAGTCAAAATGTTGAATACAAATTCAAAAAGTATTTTAAAACTAAAGCATGAGGAATTTGAACTGCATTATGCTCCTGAACCCAACTCTATATGTTCTAGTTTTGTTAATATTAGTGATGTATCTGTGAGTTATGGCTGTCTGTTGAGTAAACTACAAAAAAACACAAAATATCTCAAACCAGGTGTGGTCCTAATTACTGCAGCAGCATCGGTGACAACAGCGGAACTCAAAGAACTTCCTTCAGTCCTTCACAAAAAGAGTGTCCAACACACCTGCACAGACAGTCACACACAGACGTGACCTAAACTTACTTTCTAAACTTCAAAATTTTGTACTAGCTTTTTTTTATTTTGTCTCTAGTAAAACTTAAACTGCTGCCCAAACTGCGATGAGTTTTGAGACGTTAACCTGTAATAAAGTATGTCAGTAATTCATTGGTACAAAGCGCTTGGTTATTGCAAGTCTTTGAGATGAGGCTGGTTTTGCTTTAGAGGTTATTTTTTTTTTTAGTTCTTATTTAAATTTAGCTTTTGGAAGTGTATATTGATTTAATTATTTCTAGGTAAATAAACAATCTTTCCCCTCAATTTTATGTTATTTTTTTGTCATGGATTCAGCCTGAATGTTGAAGTTCCCACAAAAAACAATCAAAGCTTTTTGTCTGTCCTGAACTTTTGTCTTGCTTTGTCTAAAACAAATAAAGAGAGATTTAAGACTTAATTCCTTTTTCTTAAATACACGTTGAAGATCAGTTTACTTCATGTTATCTGCTGCCCTCTTGTGGTCTCTTGTCACTTCTGTTGACAAATTTTTTTAGAATATATTTTTATCAAATGTCCCAGTTTTGCAGGGTTTTGACAAAAAATTATGCTTGTTACATGTTGTCCTTGGTGTTTTGTTTTTAAATCCACTCCTCCTCTTGTCTGCTGCTGTTCTCAGGTCTCAGATGACCTGCCTGATGTTGGCAGCCAGGGATGGATACAGTAAGATCATAAACCTGCTGGCATCCCACGGTGCTAAAATCAACAGCCAGAACAAGATGGGATACACAGTTTGTCCAGTTTTCTTCTTTCTTTTTGCTGTAGTAGATGATTGTTTGCTCAGACAGCAGATCACAGAGCTTTACATAGAGCTTCTCTTTTATTGTCAGGAAATAAACATTTTACAGATGTTATGTTTTGACTTTGGTTTTTATACCTGAAGCTGATGTATTTTGTCAGGCTTTGTCCATAGCAGTTCAGTACGGCAGAGAGGAGGCGGTCTTAAAGCTGCTTCAGCTGGGAGCTGACAAAACTATAAGAACAAAGAGCAACAAAAGCCCTGCTGATCTGGCTGTGATGTTCAATCACACTACGGTAACTTTATATTTAAAAGTTGTAATATTTTTAAAACTGCACAAGTAGTTTTACGGCATATAATTTTAGTATTTGTCTTTACTCTTAAAATTGTGTGCTATTTAATATAAAGTATTGTTTTTCTATTTTAACACCTGGTCTGTCCACAGATAGCCCACATTCTGGCATCTTCCTCCCACATTCCTGCTGCTCAGGCCTTCACCTCTATGGAAGAGAGTCTGTCTAAATTCTTCAAGACAAACTCTGAATTTCCATCCTCCAAGGAAAGGTTGGAAACATGTATTGTAAAATGTATGAAGTATTTTTTGCCATGTCAGTGTTTTTTTATTTTATTTTTATTTAAAATATATTCATTTCATTTAAAAACAAATCAAATGCTTTACATACAGCAAATAATACAAAACACAGATAAAATGAAAGGTAGCAGAAAGAAGAGAACAATTCTTATTAATATCTGCCCCTATTTTCAAAAAATTTATAAATTCAAACTATCTTCAAATAACAAAACAAAAAAAAACTTCAACTCCTTCTCACTGCTGACAGTAAAGCACAGAAACCAGACTGAATTCACCAAAATGGAGCACAAAACTGGAGCTTTTTGGTCTGTCACATCAACTGTGTTGTTTTAAGGGGGGATATTATGCAATATTGGCTTTTTAAAGCTTTATATCCACCCACTTATACATAGCTCCTCCCTGGAGCTCAGTCTGCAGCAACAATTTTCTACAATAAACATGTAGAGAAGAGAGATTAAGACAACAACAGAGTGAGGAAATGTGCTCAGTTTGTGCTCCAGCAGTCTAAGTCTATAGCAGCAGAAATGAAGAATAATTCAGGAAACCTAAGTCTAAATTATAGGATTTATCAAAAAGGAAAGCCTTCAGTCTAATCTTAAAAGTAGACAGAATGTCAGCCTCACGGACAGAAACTGGAGCTCTGTCTCCCATTCTACTTTTAGAAACTCGAGGAACCACAAGTAAACCTGCAATCTGAGAGTGAAGTGCTCTGTTAGGAAAATATGGAACAATAAGATCTTTAATATATGATGGAGCTTGGTTGTTGAGAGCTTTGTATGTTAGGAGTAATATTTTAAATTCTATTCTAAATTTGACAGGGAGCCAGTGGAGAGAAGCTAAAACTGGAGAAATATGATCTCTCCTTCCAACTCTCATTAAAACTCTAGCAGCAGCATTTTGGGTTAACTGAAGACTTCTTAAAGAGTTTTTTGGATGCCCGTATAATAAAGAATTACAGTAATCAATTCTAGACCTGATAAATGCATGAATCATTTTTTCTGCGTCGTTTTTGGGCAAAATGTTTCAAATTTTAGTGATGTTACGCAGGTGGAAGAAGGCGGTCCTGGTAACGTTTTTAATGTGGGGGTTAAAAGACATCCTGATCAGAAATAAGGCCAAGGCATTAGAACTGGAGGCCAGATTAATGCCATCCAGAGGAGGTGAAAGGCTGCAAAGTTAATCCCTAAGATGTTCAGGTCCAAAATTCATAACCTCTGTCTTATCTGAGTTTAGAAGCAGAAAGTCAAGAGTCATCCATGTTTTTATGTCTGTTAGACATGCCTGTAGTTTAAGTAACTGATTACCATAGATTCATCAGGTTTCATGGATAAATATAACTGAGTATCATCAGCATAACAATGAAAATTTATCCCATGCTGTTTAATAATTTTACCTAATGGAAGCATATACAAAGTAAAGAGGATTGATCCAAGCACTGAACCCTGAGGAACTCCATGACTAACTTTGGTGTAAGAAGAAAATTTATTAACCACTAACAGAATGCAGAACTAACCTGCAGAGCCACAGTCAGAGGAAACATTCACTACAGTGTGAAACACTCTAGTCTATGAGGGTTCACAAACCAAACCTCCATCAATCATTGGTTGTACCTGTCTGGAGGGAACCATCTGACCTCATCAGTCAGTGGCTGAGATGTGGGACTCGCCTTGGACGGGTCACCAGTCCATCAGCAGGCCTACACAAAAACACAAGTCATACAACCACATCCACACAATGAATCAATGAATCTGCAACATACAGGTTTAAGGTCTGTGCAAGAAACTGGAGCACCCAAAGAAACCCCACTCCTCCACAGAAAGAACACGTAAACTCAACAAAGAAAGACTTCAGCTCACATTTGAATCCAGAACCTTTTGTACCTTTATAAGCTGACAGTGCTAACCTGCTGCTTGCTCACTGTTAATGCCTGTATTTATTATGCCATACACAGGAATTTCCATGTTGTATAATTTCACCTGTTTATGGTTTTACCTGACTACATGTTAATCACTGTAGAGTTGGAAGTAGAACCACAAGTTACCATAATGCCTACATAAAATTAATTTAGATTATTAATTGTTCACAGTAAATGTAGCTACAGTACATATTAGTATTTATTTTTGCAATGCTGCCTTACATCAGCCTTTTTATTTCAGTGCAGTCTTATGTTATTCTGTTTCCTGTTTGCACGTGTTGGATTTCCAGTGTTCTCGTACCTGTGTTGTAGGTGTTGTTGAGCCATTGTTCCACCAAATTAATAACAAAGCTCTACCATTAATGTTTCGTCCACTGCGCAGTTCAGACAATCGTTTTCTGCTCTGTCTGACTCGAGCAGTAAAGGTTTTCCCACGACATCAACAAAGACATGACAAATTACAAATCATGGGAAAAGACGCACCTGGAAACACCCAGCAAGCTGAAGTGTTGTTAAATTGTTTGAAGATCCAAATTTAGTTTAGATTTCGTTGTCTACGAACACAAACTGAGCACACGAAGGATAAGTTTTTTTGTTTATCGTTCTTACCAAATTCCAGTACTTGCTAGCCGTAACCTTTTACCTGATAGGCTGTTCTTATGATAATACTGTGATGTGAGTTCTTTCTGAGTGTTGGTGTGCCGTTTCAGTGCAACCAAGCTTGACGAGCTTCATCTTCTCCTGCACGGCCTGGATCTGGGCTACCTGACAAACATCCTGTCTGTAAGTATTCTGCCACACAATGAGATAAGATGTTTACGGTCACAATAAAAACAAAATGTTACCCTATCTGGTCACAAATTAGTCAACAGATCTACTGTGTGATTTTTAAACAACTAAATAGAAAAGCTGCATGTAAATAAATAAATAAAATCTAAGTCCACCCTTGCTGTTTCCACCAGATTTATTGCTTTAACCAATCCTCATCAGAGGGACAGCCTCTAGAAAAGCAGTGTTTTTTGTTGCTCTGGATCTTTGTTTTATGATAAAAGTAAAACCATAAAATGCCAGGATCTCAGCAATGACCTTAGAGAAGCGACTCTTACTGCTTATCTATCTGGGGAAGGTCAAAGGTCTTCTGCAGACAGCTGACAACCTTTCCAGGTGTAAAGTTTTTGGCAAATTCACCCCACATTCAGACTGTGCAAAGTATGCACCATTTAAGTCACAACATGCAGAAGGTTAAAGTTCTGAAGCCGGGTACACATCGGACGCATTTTGAGCAGCCACTTTACATGCAAAGTCTATGGTGGACGTGCGTCTAGGAGCAGCGTGGCACGTTCTGCCAGTTTAGAGCGGCGTGCAAGGTAGAGGTAGGATGCGGCAGAGCGTTTTCCGTGCATGCTGTGCGTCCAAAGCAGCTGCTGCTCGAGTTCAACAAATTTAACTTTCGCTGCTCGATGCGCCGCATCAACCAATCAGAGAGAATCATTTTTCCTTGTGACGGTTGCATGAACCTAAAACAGACGAACAGCAGCTCTTTAGCTGAAATTAACCATCTGCAGTCGGTGTTCTGGCTGGAGATATCAGCACCGATGTGGGTCAGTGGCTTGTTAAACTGGCCGCAGTGTTAAACTGGGCTCAGGACAAAGAAAAAAAAAGTCAGTCAGCTCGCAGCTCCTGGAGTGGTGAATCTAACCAACCAGATCACCTCTAAATTATCTGGTGTGTGTAAAGTTCGCTTGGTCTTTAGTAAATAAAGAAAAGCCATTTTCTTTATTTTATCTTTATTTCACCCATCATTAAAGACAGACCTGAAAAAACCAAGACGCTCCTCCATCTTCAGACGCACATCTAGTCTGCTGCTGCATTCACAATGAACACGCTTCAATGCGTCCAACTTGAGGCGTTGGGCGCATTGTTGCTGCTCAAAACACATTTGGTGGGAACCCGGCTTGACAGGACATTTAGAAAATGGCTGAACAGATACGGTTTGAGTTAAAGGTTGCAGGTAAAGACCTCATCCCTCCTGGAAGGACGAAATTACCTTTTAGTTTTTTCATTTTGCCTTTTTTTCTGTTAAAAAATGACAGTCCTTAAAGAGTAACTAGACCCCAAATCTACTTCTTTCAGATAAACTGTCCAAATTGGGCCTTTAAGGGTATTTTCTTTAAATTGTTGGGCAAATTGTAGCCTGTCCCTTGCCTTCCTACGCAGCTCCGCTCAATTCTAGTTCCCCTTCACTGCTCCGTCTGGGACTTCTCCCATTTAACAAGGATTTAGTAACTCAGTCTAAAATGTTTGCTTCTGTTGAATCAGATGTCATATATTATACTGTATACCTCTTTTAGCCTGGCCCTTGCCTTCCTACGCAGCTCTGTTCCCTTCACTGCTCCGTCTGGGACTTCTCCCATTGAGATGGATTTCGCTGGCAGATTTTTAGCTGGGCCAATCAGAGAACAGAACGTCGATTTTCTGTGCAGTGTCTGCTTGTAGTTTATTTTACCTGGGCCAATCAGCAAACAGAAGGAGGAGTTTTGAACGACGTCGATGTTCTGCGCAGTGTCTGCTAGTTATTTTAGCATACGGCAGTGGAGGAACTGAATGAAGCCAGTCCGTGTTGATAAGACTTCCAAATTAAAATAAATTTGTCTGACAAAGCAGCAGCTCTCATTTATAGTTTTCTCGTTCAGCTCGGTACTTTTCTCCTCTCAGTAGAGTTGTTTACAGCGCTCGCAATTTCGGTAAGCTTCTTAACTTAGCCTCCGTCACAGCAAAAACACATACATGCTTCAGCAGAGGCCACGCCTCCTGCAAGAAATCAATTATCTATGCATCAAGTCCAGACCCTTGTTCGAAGCAAAGTGAAGGACAGGGTCTGGTTTGAACCAGGCTGGGCAAATTGACATTTTCCTGTAAATTTATTTAATTCTGCAATATTTGGCCTAAAGCCATCTTGGTGCTGCCCTCTATGGGTTGAACGGTGGCTACTGCAGTTTAATTTTCCTATTTGTAAAAACAGCACAGTTTGGTTTGGCTGCTGACATCACTTTATCACTCAGAAACTGGACCCATTCTGTCCTCCACTGCCTCGCAGCACCTGTTTCATTCATCGCTGAGTCAGTGCCCTGACCCAGCTGCTCGATCTGATGAGGCTCAGATCCTCTGGGCTCCACAGCCTCCCTCAACCTCTAGACAACCCTCCACCTCAAAAGACCGTTCAGTGGCAAAACTATCTGCGTTGCTCTGGTCAGTGGAGAAGACAGCCAAATCTCCTCACAAGTACTCGTTCTGAAATGACCCAAGCAGAGTGGGACAAAAGGAGGTGTGGAGCAGAACTCAACTGGGACTATTTGGCAGACTTGACCCCCCTGCCATCTTCGTGTGTCTTCTGAGTGATCCAAGGGGAACAGAACACATCAGTTCCTGACTGAGCCATCTTGTGAATGATGCTTTATGTCAAATTAAGCTAGCTGTCACGTTCCCTCATCTTGACCACACCTCCTCACTCTTCCCCACATTTGGCCATGCCCCTCAGTGTCTCTTGGCACCGCCCAAGGGACACTGGGTGGGGTGGGGGGAGGACCAGGGAGGATGATTCAACACTCAACCACTAGATGTCGCTGAAAACAACAAATCCTACACATTGTGCCTTTAAGACTTTTACTCAAGTAATATTTTTAGAGAAGACTTTAACTTTTACCAAAGTATTTTTATGATAAGATACTTGTACTTTTACTCAAGTAATATTTTTAGAGAAGACTTTAACTTTTACCAAAGTATTTTTATAATAAGATACTTGTACTTTTACTCAAGTATCACTTTTAGGTACTTTATACAACACTGATTAAAACATGTCAGCGTGCAGGAAGCAGAATTTTCACAGAATGTGAGTTGGAGAATTTCCTACTTAAAAGTATTGTGTAGTTATGTTTGTCCAATAAAAAAGAAGATAAAATTAAACTCTTGATCAACCTCTCCACGTGACGTCTATGGCGTTTTCAAAAGTCCTCTGCCTTTGAGTGATGAAAGATTTGACTAATCTCAGAGGATTAGCAGTGATTGCTCACTAACAGAGTATAATCTTCTGAAAGAAGCAATATGTTAAAACATGTTTGGCTTCATTTATTTGTATGGGAATGTGTCATGAGATGTGTAGTTTACATATTTAACTTCCAGATGGTTTGGTGTGACCCGAATCCATCTAGGGGTCAGCTGCAGTTTCCAGCCTTGAGTGAAACGTGAGGACCGTGTTTGACAGGTGCAGGTAGCTTGTTGTTACAGTTTAGGTAAAACGCCCGGTGCAGGTCCGTCTGTTAAATAGAAGCTGTTGCATTTTTTACTGTAAGTGCTGTTCCATTTCTCACTTTTCCCACGCTCAGGAAAACGACGTCACTTGGAACGACCTGCTGACCATGGAAGAGGATGACTTTAAAAAGGTAAAGGACGACTGTACCTCTGTTTGTGTTTATGCTGCCGGGCCTGAGGGTCATGTAGAAAAGGGCAGAAGAGGCTTTTGTCGTCACTTTTATTCCCTGTGGTTATGTTAACGTCTGGAGGAGGAACAACATCTCCTCATTGCTCCAGGACTGCCCACGGCTCATTTAGATGTAGAGTAGTGGTAGCATTGGCAACACTGAAGGGCTAATTGGCTGTGTCTCAATTTATGGGCTGAATCCTCATGAGTATGTAACCCAGCTGGGCCACATCCTTTCCAGTCCAGGTAGGATGATAAAACTACCCCCATTAACATAGTGAACGATTTTATATCATGTGTCTTCAGACTTGAAATGCATTGGGACATGTTTATAAGGATGTACTGGAGGAATAACTTCACAATTAAAATGTTACAGGTAAATAAAATAAAAATTAAAAATTAAAAGCAGCAATAATTTGGGTTTAGCTCCAGTATCCGTATTTGTAGTTGTTTATTTAACATCTCATTACAGCATTTCATCAGCTAAATTGCTAAACTTAACATTTAAAAACAATTTCTTGTATCCGTGAAGAATTTCCAAACTATGACGACTCGTTAAAAAAAGAAAAACTCCACTGTTTTTGTTTCTCTGTTTAATTTGCTGTCGGCACATTGAATCCTGGGATATCCTCGGCCGAGAAGGATACTCAGATGCATCCTTGGTTTTCAAGATTTTGTGAGCCGCATGAGGAGGAGCCTTTGAATTGGGGCATCACTCCACATGGGGCAGTGACGTGTGCAGCCGACAAATGCACACTCATGAGGATGCAGCTCATGAATTGATACACAGCTATTGTTACATGGTTGCTTAGCAATGGTGGCTCATGAAGTCCAAAAAGGTGCATGTTTCCTGTAGTTGGTTGGGTTCGAGGCCGGTCTAATGAACCGCACCAGAGTTCCTTTGGAAGCTGACTGAGACCAACTTAAAAAGGGGGTCTCGGTCTGGTTGTTTGGTTCACATGTATGTGTTCACACCAGGGGTGGAAATTAAAAATTTTCCTCACCAGCCACAGTGGCTGGAAGAAAAAGTTTTGTTCCAGCCACTCAAACTTTTTACCAGTCACTATTTTTTTGTTTCTGTAACACAGTGACATTTAGACAATTCATGGTCCTGGTGGCCTAATTATATTGTTCGTGCTACAATCAGATAATGGTACTCAAAATCTATTAGTGTCTGAGTATTCATGCCAGCCTGTTTGCCCAAAATTAAAATGATGGACTTTTTGATGTCTCTACTTCTCTTACTAACTTGCTTTTTGCTGGTATGTTGGTGGAATACCTATTATTTTAGGTAGGCCACTTGGCTGGAAAAAAAAGCTTTTTAATCTTAATAATATAGGAGAAATTTTCAAGGTGAAAAAAAAAACAAAACAAAACAAAAACTAACAACTAAATTACCTGAGGTAAATTTATCTCCATTTAATAAAAGCCTTTTCCTTTTATCACTTGTAGTTTTTGTTCTACAGGCTACTAGTATGAATGTGTTTTTCTTCTGTTCTAAGTGAGATTTCAATAACAGATAGGAATCTCTCTAGATCAGGGATGTCCAAAGTGTGGCCTGGGGGCCATTTGTGGCCCCTGAACTGATTTTGTGTGGCCCCAGATTTCAGTTCAAGAGTTGTACTAATTTGTTTATAAATTTGTCCACCTGGCACAGGTGTTTGATGTAGATGGAGCCTTTCTATTTATTATTAGGGCAAATTTATCACAAAGTAAAATCTTATAATAAAAAATATTGGCAACAATACCAATTATTTGTCTTTAAATAACCAGGCTCTAAGCTTTTTCCACATCTATCTTGTGACTTCTGCTGAAAAGCTGATTTTGCTGCACTCCATTCATTAAATTTGCCTGAAAACAGCAAGCATTTTCAATGAAAGAGTGACTTAAATCCTGATTTTATTGATCAGATTTGACTAAACTGGGTTATTTATTCCCCAATTGAAACCTAGAGAATTCAGAAATCCTGCTAAACACCTTTAAATTTCTTGATCTAGATTAATTTACACATCCATTTCCAGCAATAAATCTGACTACTTTATTTGTTTAATTAAAGTATTCAGTTCTTAGTTTATTGTTGAGCAGGTAAAGGAAAAATATTTTTTGCCCTCAAGTCGTTCTGACTTTATGATTTTGGCCCATGTGACAAAATGTTTGGACAGCCCTGCTCTAGATGATCCATTGTCTCAGAGTGGGATCATTTCTATTTTTACTTTGGAAAAAGTTTGTCACAAGATTCATTTTGTTACTTAGTTTACCTGGGTTTTTGTTTTGTTCTGCACCAAAAAAATAGCCTGCAGAGAAAAGTTAAGAGAAAAAAAGAGCAGATTTTTCATTTATTTATTTTATTTTTATTTTTTGGCATTGTCAGCTGATCTTCAGACGTTTCCTGGAGGTTAAAAAACAGTTTTTCCTTAAGTTTCCTTTGGTCAAGTGATCATGATTATTGAGTTAAAATATGTAACAACTAATATGAAGTTTTTTTAAACTAACATTTATTCACGCATTGGCAGTTAGAAATAATGTTTTTAATCAGCTGATTTCAGGTTTTTGCTCTTGATGCCAGCCTACAGTTCTAGCTTTGTGGTGGGCAGGTGGACCACACAGATGACAGCGCCTAAAGGAGGAGGGCAGAACTAATAGCTGCAGAGCAGGTTGAAAGATGGTTGTTTGATGTTATTTAATGTCCTATACAGGCTCTGAAATGCAAAATAAAAACTAAACAGTTTTTGAAAATGGTCAGTAGCGCGATTTGAACGCTTTTTATTTATTTATTTATTTATTTATTTATTTATTTATTTATTTATTTATTTATTTATTTATTTGTTGTTCATTACACATCCACTTCATAAATTTACCCGCATTAGGCCAGTGGTGAGTGCTAATTTCCACCCCTGCATAAAAGGTCGAAACCAATGTGAGAAACGAACTCTGGTCCAATTAAAGTGGAGCAAATGTGTCGAGTGTGAACAAGACCCTACATTTCAAAACCACACTGAAGGCTTTTTGTCGATTTCTCATGTCAGATTGGAATCACAGACCCAGAGGACCAGCAGAAGTTGATGAGGGCGGTGCAGCAGATGCACATGGACAAAGTGGACCTGAACTCAATTAGCACTCTGGGAACTGGAGAGTTGGGGTAGGATTTCATTTCATGTTCAACAGGTGTGTCAGGCAGCACAGGTTCACCACAAAACAGTCATGAAACTGAAAAACATTTATTCTACTTAAAACTCTGTTTTCAGAAGGGAAGTGTATCAACCCAATTTCAGACAGTTTAGTTTCAAAATTAAACAGAATTCAGTTATCCTAAAAAAAAATTGTCAAACTGTGCAACAGTTTCAAGGTAACATTCCTCAAAAACTTAATAGAATATTATATAATAATACAATATTAACATATTACAGTACATTAAGTGTAGAAACCCTCTGTTTCTGAGAAATTAAAAATATATTTAAGAACACTGAACATAACATAAATAATGTTAAAAAGAGCCATTATTCAATCATAGAAATCGTTGCTTGAGTTGATCAACATTCCCAGAAATGATCTGTACACAGTATCATTCATAATGGTTAAAGCTCTATCAGGCAAACAATAAATTATAGTGTGTGAAACGTCTCCATCTTATCTGGGTCAAAGCTGTTCAAAAGTGGACTAAAAGTGAAAAACCCGACTGGTCAAATTATAATTATTTTTTATTGCCATAAAAAGAGGGCAATCTTATAATTGTGTATGTGTGTGTTAACAAAATATCTCATGAATCACAGAATAGTTTTGAGTAATAGTCATTGGATGGACGTCTACAATACAGTGGTTTGCAAAAGTATTCATACCCCTTGAACTTTTCCATATTTTGTCACATTACAACCACAAACATAAATATATTTCACTGGAATTTAATGNGGTAACACAAAAGTATTGTGTGGGAACGCAGAGGTATTGTGTGGTAACACAAAAGTATTGTGTGGGAACGCAGAGGTATTGCGAGGGAACGCAGAGGTATTGCGAGGGAACGTAAGGGTATTGCGAGGTGACGCAAGGGTATTGCGAGGTAACGCAGAGGTATTGCGAGGGAACGCAAAGGTATTGCGAGGGAACACAAGACGCAGAGGTATTGCGAGGGAACGCAGAGGTACTGCGAGGGAACGCAGAGGTACTGCATGGGAACACAAAGGTACTGCGAGGTAACGCAGAGGTATTGCGAGGTAACGCAGAGGTACTGCGAGGTAACGCAGAGGTATTTGCGTGGGAACGCAGAGGTATTGCGAGGTAATGCAAAGGTATTGCGAGGTAACGCAAAGGTATTGCGAGGTAATCCAAAACTATTGTGAGGTAATGCAAAAGTATTGCGAGGTAACGCAAAGGTATTGCGAGGTAACGCAAAGGTACTGCGAGGTAACGCAGAGGTATTGCGTGGGAACGCAGAGGTATTGCGTGGGAACGCAGCGGTACTGCGAGGGAACGCAGAGGTATTGCGAGGTAACGCAGAGGTATTGCGTGGGAACACAGAGGTATTGCGTAGGAACGCAGAGGTATTGGGAGGGAACGCAAAGGTATTGCAAGGTAACGCAAAAGGTATTGCGAGGTAACGCAAAGGTACGCAGGGAATGCAGAGGTATTGCATGGGATCGAAAAAGAAAAAAAAATCCCGCCCATGTCCCCTCGCGGGCTCCGTAGAATTCAACCATGAAACATTGATTCAATAACATCTTTTCAACATTGGTTATTTGGCTACAATTGGATGATTGACTAATGATTGATTCATCATCAGTTGTCAACCTTATCTAAAAATCAACTTTTTTGACTATAACTTAACATTGGATTAATATCTTTTGCTATCTGGGAGCTCAGTGTCTATAAAACTGATAGAGGTGGAGCCATTTTTCGGTCGTAACGACTGACAGATTTTCTAAGCAGCTGCTGCCTGAAACAAAAATGGCAACCATTTTTTTTTTTTCTGCAGGAATTTCTACCACCGAGTCAAAAACAAAAGAAAGTGCATCAAATCTACATGTGTAGGCCGCTAC